ATTTGTTTTCTAGATTCTTTGAAATACACTTCGTGCATTATGAGACGTCTATTATTGAATACACCCTGAATTCATATTTTTTTCACTACTTTGCTATGGACAATTAATAATTATGATGATGAAGAAGATGATGATGATGAGGAGGAATCTGTGCAAGATTAATTAACATGCCCTTTGTTGTGAAGTGTCAAGCGAGGCCGGTAGCCTAAGTTACGGTTGGGCATGTTCAATGCACACAGTCGGACAATGATGATTTATGATATCTGTTTTGTATAATAATCTGAAACCCATAAAATATCAGTTCAGGTATTCATTTATCTGTATGTGGAAAATATAACATATGGACCATACAAAATAAAAAAGAATTCAAATAAAATTTAAAATATGTAAAAAACATCTACACTAAATCAAAATGAAATATTCACTGCCTGTTGCATCCCAGTTTTAGTATTGCAGGGGTTCTGAAGGCTTTACAGTATAATCAATCCCTGTATTTCTGATAGATTTCTGGTTAAAATGTAAAATATTTAAGATTTTATATTCAGTACATTCTCAAATGTTATGTAAATCTCATATATCCCAAAAATACGTTATATTCATGCACTGAATTAGAAAGTTAACTTTCTAATTTTGATATGTTTTATGTTGAATGGTTTTTAATATTATTAGTCTAATATGACCACAACATAAGGAAATCCTCTCTTTTAAACTTCTAACCTACTAAACTTTGCGTACCTCAATATACATTATTATATATTTTCTTAAATCAAGGAAGTCCACTCGTTAAATCAGTATATAGTATATACTATAGAGAATTTTGTCTGCCAATCTCAGATATAAAAATATTAGGAAATCGTTTTATGCATGCACTGACATGAGACCTTTAACCCAATAAATTTGATATGTATATGCTTTATGTTGTTTGTTGAATGAACTTCTTTAATAATATTACAGTCTAATATGACCACAACATAAGAACTCCATTCTGTAAATGATTAGCATTAAATGTTTACAGAGAATTTCGATTGTTTATGAATATCATCATGTTAGATCCAAATCACGTTTTATGCAAGCATCGACAAAGAAAGATTAAACATAATAATTTTGATATGTACATGTTTTATGTTATGTGTTAATAATATTACAGTTTAATGGCTTAATGTTAATAATATTACAGTTTAATGGTTTACAATAATATTACAGTTTATTGGCCCCGGAAACCTGAACCCCGATCTGGGGCCCTTGGCGGCCCCCTAGTCCTGATCATCAGTGCTCGCGCTTCGCTTGCAACCTGACCATTTCACTTCTCGTGGCTACGGCCCTGCTATGACGTGTGTGGTTGAACCGTGTTTGGTTGAATCATGGTAGAAAGAAAAAACAATCAACAATTGTCGGAGGGTGGGGTGGAGAAACACGAATGTACGGTATTATTTATTTAATAAAATAATGTTTAATTTGTATACAATAAAATCTTATCACTTAGAGAACAGATAATGATGTCAAAATATTGTATATACATGGAGGCTTTATGATCAAAAGTTCTTGCCAAGATTTGGTAAGTTGGTCCCTGGCGCGGCCGGCTGCTGGGCCGCGGCTTGGTGTCTGGAATCATAAATAGGCCGTGAAGTAAAAAGTTTGCGGAACGCTGATCTACTTAATATCCAGGACAACTTAGGCCTAACTATCTTACTAAGCTTTAACTATACTATAATAATTATGATCAACACTCACAACTTTTTTT